ACGGGCCAGGTTAAGTTACCCCACCCGAAGATGGATGAAGCAGCAGGTGCAGGACTAGTGACGGGGCAACGGGGGCAAAAGGGCCCAGAAGAGGACTTAGTCACACACATCAGTGAGAGCTGTAGCTGAAGACGAAGGCTGACAAGGTCTGCCACCGCTGACAGAAGATTGCCATCTTTGCCAAGATGGCCCCATAGGAGGGAGCTGCGTGAGCTAGTGCTCTGAGCTTTCTCTCTACCTCTTTCCATCCACCTCCCCAGAGCTCCTCTGGCTGAGTCCAAAGAGGCCAGGGCTAGGGAGCCCTTGATGGAGTTCACACAGGTCAGCCTCCCCCAGCACATATCAGGGTGAGGAAACCTAGAACGTAAACCTGAAGGGGCCAAAGGAGAAGATTCAACACAGACATTGCTGATCTGAACATCATTTACAGGCGAAGGTGCCGAGGAAAGTAGAACCCTGGCTGCAGGCATTGGAGAATATACATTCTTCCGAAGCACAGCACATGGGTGGTGTGCACGACCACAGTTCTAGGTCGACAAACAAGTCTCAGCGAATTTCAAAAAATCCATGTCAACTAGAACCTGTCCTGTAACCATAAAACAATTCAGTTGTGAGGGATGAGGAATCAGTAACAAAAAGATGAGGGGGGAAACCGCATATTTGGATATTGTAAGAAGAAACTTTTAATCATGCAAGAAAAAAATCAGAGACATTTAGATATACTCAGAAACTCACGATAGTGAAAATACTACACATCAAACCTTGCGGATGCAGCAAAGATAGTACATAGAACTGTAAATCCTTAAATGCATAAGTTAGACAAGTTAGAAACTAAGAATTAACAAGCTAAGCAACTCAGGACATTAAAAGAAAAACCAAAAAAGATGATAAAAATATAAATGTAGATATGAGTGAAATAAAAAACAAAAAAATACAGAGCTCCACAAAGCCCAGTGTTGATTCTAGGATAAGATTTAAAAAAAAAAAAAAAAAGCTTCTGTGAAATCAGGTTTGTAAAAAGATGGGCCAGCGAGAATACACAAAATTGCATCTCGGCTTCGTCCTTCCTGGCCTCAGGGCCCACTCCGCTAACCTGCAGCCATCGTGTCTGGTGCTCTCCGGGCGCTGGAAGGGCGGGTTGGCAATCCGAGCGTCTAGGAGCTGAGGACACAAGTGGGTGGGCGGCCTTGGAGAGCCGGTGGAGGTTGCCCGCATTCTGCCGGCTCACGCTGGCTGGGCACTGGCAGCCTTGGGCCCTGCGCTCCTGGCCCAGAGAGTAGCCCTCGCCAGCTATATGCGGATAAGAAGAGCAAAGTGGGATGCTGGCAGCTGAAGTGGTGCAGACCCGGGAGGCCGAGCAAGCAAAAGTCAGTATTTTATCTACAGCCAGCTTTGCACTTGCTACTCATGCAGCGTGGGGTCTGTCTACTCGTCCCGCCACGCAGAGGGACATGGGGTGCTGGAGGGCTCTCACTGGCTCCCGGAAAGCATTTGTCATGCTGGTTGGGGAATTGCCTTCAGTGTTTGTATTTCCCACTTTTTTTCTGCCGTCTTCTCATGCCTTTCCTGCAGGGACCGCAGACCCCTCACAGACCTTGGTCATTGGTCCAATGGAGGCCCCTTCATGGGTGCCATCTCAACATGTGTAGGCCAGAAATAAAACACTCCCCCAAATCCTCTGAACCCTAAAGTTTTATATGTGTGGAAGGCCGTGAAAGGTAAAAAGAATTGTGAGTTTTGTACACAGAGGCATCTCCAGCTTCATAATCGCTGCGGGGAAGCAGCATTTCTAAACCATTGGTGTGGAACACAGGTGGGCTAGGACAGGTGCAATTACACGGTTAAATCATTGCCAGCTACACCATCCACTGTAAATGAGTAATAGCAACACTCTGCCTTTGAAATCTATCTGTTGTTACTGTATCTCAAACCACAGCCAAATAAACTCTTAAAATGGTAATACAGTAGTTCATTTTCTCACATCAAAAGCCAGCTACAGTCCTTTTGACTCTTGAAGTGATCAGTCATTAATCTGCGAAAATACTCCCTGCAGCTGGGAAGAAAGCCCCGAAGTCCGATTTCTCGGAAATTCAATTCAGAGTTCAATTAAAAATATCAATATTCTTCATTCAGAGAAACATCCCCAAATAACTCTTTCATTTCCAATTTTAATTAAAAGAACAGCCTAAGAAATTGCATGTCCCATTGCTTCACACACCCATTAAAACACAGAAATAGACTGCAAGTCTATTTCTTGGTAACTATCCTTGTGGTGATGACTTTAAAATTCTCATCCTGGTCACTTATAATCACCTGAAGGAAGTGAAATCTGCGTCCTTATTTATCTAACCTCTAAGGAAAGAGACCTTGTTTGTTACCCACTCATTTCTTCAACATAACAGAACTCAGACTTGAAAAAGAATTTTCTTCTGTTTCAATATCTGGGTATGATGAGATGTCCATGGACCATTATAGTTTTTTCTATATTTTTTAAACTTTAATCTGGATTATTTCTGTATATGCCCAAAGTCACCTTCTATGCCTTTTAATTCTATGACATAGAAATCAGGAACTATCTTCGTAATCTCTGAAAGTGCCTGGTGAATACGCTACATAAAGGTCTGACCCGCTACTCCAAGGTTTGCATTATACTGGCGGTTGGTATCCCTACTATCAAACCAAAGATGTAGATAAGGTGATAAACCTCTAGCTAAAGCTTATTACACAAGACTGTAATTTTTCTGAATTCTTCTTAAGAATTACCATGCGCGGGGCACCTGTGTGGCTCAGTCGGTTAAGGCACTGCCTTCGGCTCAGGTCATGATCCCGGGGTCTTAGGATGGAGCCCCGCATCCGGGCTCCTTGCTCAGCGGGGAGCCTGCTTCTCCCTCTCCCTCTCCCTCTGCCCCTCCCCCTGCCTGTGCTCTCCTGCTCTCTCTGTCAAATAAATGAATAAAATCTTAAAAAAAAAAAAAAAAAGAATTACCATACACAAAATATGAATGTTTTCTTGTTGCAGCCTACTTTTTCTCCTTTGAAGCCTGGGGTTTGTTTTCATTAAAAATTGTCATGTAATCCATGATATGTCTTACTGCAACTAGTTTAGAAATAACATGTGCAGGCCTGCACTTAGGGTACAAGGGACTCATCTTATTTAAATGAAAACATGGCTCCTGTGCAAGAGCAATACTGAATTTTCACCCAAAATCGCATAAGCCTAGCATGTAAATGATGTGTAAATGAAGTGCTCCCTGAATGGGCATTAAATGAGCATTAAGAGGGAAGACCATAACAGTCCATCATTTCAATGGTCCCAGCCCAAAGGTGCTTGAGTCGCTTTGACACAACAGAGTGTGACAGCTTCATAGGCATTGTTTCAGGCTGCTGAATCCAAACTCAGTGGAAAAGAGGGAATAAAAATCGGCCCGACGAGTCACTGATGGCTGGACCCCAGCCCTCCACCCCAGCCAACACAGTCCATCAGTTTTCTAGATTGGGCTCACCAACTTGATCCTCGGGAAGGAGGATTTTATATAGTTTTGCTTTAAGTAAAGAATGAATAGTTGACATGGAAATAAGCCAATCAGTTAACTTTTTGTTTGAATCCAAACCCTGGGCAGCGTTTGTGAGGTGCTCCCCAAAAGATTAAGAAGCGTTACTTGGAACAGCTCAGAGGGAGCTGTCTCTCGGGAGTCTCTGCTCCAAGCTTTGCCTCAGAGGCTGAAGGTGTGCAGGGTGAATGCCTAATGATCATCTTTTACTAGGAGTGTTCAGAATGAAAATGTGCTGCCTTTTGATGGCCAAGGATTAATATCTATACTATACATATTTCCCCATTAAAAGATGGGGAAATCCCCATACAACAGTCCAACTCTGGTAATAATCCATCATTCATATAGGAAAGTAGATCCAATGTTCTCATGGGATCACCACACAGCCCAGTACCTACTGCTAAGCCTTGAACATGATAGGTACTCAAAATTGTGTTATTCAAGTCAATGGGTTATTAATTATCAAGGATGAATATTTAGTCTTTCTCCACAAACTTTTATCCAATCCCATAGGCCTGCATTTGTACCTTGCTAGCTGGAGGTGGGAGTGAAATCTCTGTTACAGAACACAACATCATCACTCAGTTTGTGAGAAAATTACCCATCAGTTGGCCTCATTAATATCAATCTCCACTCCTATCAACAACCCACTGAATATTTTATTTCTCAATTATATTGTGGAAGGAATAGGTTTTAGGTCTAATAAGGAAATTAAATATCTAGGTGTTGGCATCGAAGAATATAGTTCCAGAAAATAAATAAATATACATATGTATACACATATACACCATTCACGTACATATATTTTTTTTTCTGCACACAGCATAGTCATCTGACCTCATCTATTATTTTCCAAATAATCTTTTCTTTAAGAACAAATCTTAATTTTTGTCATTTTTATGACATTTCTTTTTAATGTGTGACTACAATAATGTAATTTAACCTTTTCTTAATATTTAGGGTTGAGTTTAGAAATGCAAGTTAATGTTCTCTCCTATAACACAGTGGTGCTCTCGGGGCCTATTAATGTACATAGAACTCCCCTTTTTTGTTACACTGAAAGGCTTTGATTTGGGGGGGGAGGACCGTGTCTGTTTGGGGTTACTTCTTTGCCTGCTGCAGGATTTCTGTCACCTCAACCCAGAGAATGAGAGATTTATCACTTCTCCCTGTTGTCAGGTGTCTGCTTCTGACACTCTTCTTTCCTCCTCACCCCAAACCCTTCCACTTTCTGCTCCTGAAATGCTTGTTAGAATGATTTATTCATGGGCGCCTGGGCGGCTCAGTTGGTTAAGCGACTGCCTTCGGCTCAGGTCATGATCCTGGAGTCCCGGGATCGAGTCCCGCATCGGGCTCCCTGCTCGGCGGGGGGTCTGCTTCTCCCTCTGACCCTCTTCCCTCTCGTGCTCTCTGTCTCTCATTCTCTCTCTCAAATAAATAAATAAAATCTTTAAAAAAAAAAGAATGATTTATTCATTCATTCCTTCATTCTACACATATTTAATAAGGTTCTACTAGGTGCCAGGCACTGTCCTAGAGACAGCATAGAACCTGATTCTTGTAGAGCCCACAGCCGGTGAGTGCACAAAGACATTAGTCAAAGGATCACAGAAATAAATGCGACATCACCTCTTAGGAATGAGGGGGCTATGGTGGGAGAGCCCCTGGAAGTTTCAGGGAGGCCAGAGAAGTCTTCCTTGAGTAAGCGATGGTTGAGCTGACCTAAAGAGTTAACGCCATGAGGAAGGGCCAGGGGAGCATTCCCAGCAGAGGACCACACATGCAAAAGCCCTGAGGTCAAAGAGGATGCAGGGAACCCATGACACGGGACACCCATGGCCAAGACCGAGGCCTTTTGGTATCCATTCTCAGAGCAATGCAGGTGTAAGTGGGTGGGGGACAGGTGACACCAAATTTTGCATTTTGAAAACACTACCTTGGGTGTCAAGCGGAGGATGGTTTGGATGTGGGCAAGTGCGTGCAGTGCATCCAATGGGAGAGCGTGGCACCATCCACAGATGGTGGCTTGGACGGAGGCAGGGGTTCTCAACGTGGGCTCGGCAGACATCTGTGAACTTGGGTGGGAAAACAAGCACTTCTTTATTTCCACCAGCTTCGGAATGCAGTGTAGTATTTCCTTCCATGATGAATATAAACAACATGTCGCAGCACCTGTGACCACAAGCAAGAGGAATCTCCCGCGTTCGCAGATCACATCACGGTTGCTGCACACATATCAAGACATCACTTATGCTCGTCGCTCCTGGAGAATTACTGTAGTCGTTAGGCTTGCCGCGATGTCGGGTTACACAAGGCATTAATAAAAGAGCACATATGTCATTATAACTCAATTTTTTAAATAGTTTGATCAATGTATTCTTAATAGAATCAGTTTCCTCTGTAATTGTATGTATTTTATTTAATGACTTTAAGTCTTATTCTAAAAAGGGGCCCATAGGCTTTACCAGACTGCTAAAGGTTCCCACTGCACAAAATAAGTGAAGGACTCCCGTGGGTGAAGTGGGGTAGACGGTTTGAGAGCTATTTGGGAGGACAGTGGGGTATGACCTGGAAGGGATGAGCTAGGATGATGGAAGGGGTCTGGTTCATGCAAGAGGGTGGACAGGGAAGTTCCAGTGTTTTACTCAAGACAGAAAATACTAGATGATCACAAGAACATCTATGGATAAAGGGCAAGGGATTTTGTTAATGGACTTGGGGGCATTGCATTTGGCCACTTTTTTCTCACTTTTTGGGTCTCTGCAAAGTTGCAGCTAACAGAAATATTGGTAAATTAGGTGTCACCATAAACAGACATACACAAAAATATAAATAGGAATACTTACCAAGAAAATTACAAGTTTCGGGGCGCCTGGGTGCCTCAGTCGGTTGGGTGGCTGCCTTCGGCTCAGGTCGTGATCTCAAGGTCCTGGAATTGAGCCCCACATCGGGCTCCCTGCTCAGTGGGGAGTCTGCCTCTCCCTCTGCCTCTGCCCTTCCCCCCTGCTTGTGCTTTCTCTCTCTCTCTCAAATAAATCAATAAAATCTTTTAAAAATTTACAAGTTTCTATTCACAAAACGATTTCCAGCTACAAAGTATCTTTAATATTCACAGATGAAAGTTGTCCAAAAATCTGCCATTTCCTCTATATTCTAAGACTGTTTTTCAGAGGATCGAATTTCTTTTCCTGGAGGACAGTTCTCATTAAAACCTGTAGTTAAGCAATGGGTGTCGTCACCCAACGTCTTCCTTCTCTGGGTCCGGATCTCCATTCTATTAAGACCAGAAAATCAACTGCAGCTCCTTCAAAAAATCAGAAACAGCATCAACCCAAATACCCTCATTATTTCTATTTCTACACATGAGCAACATATTGACTTTGCCAAAACAGTTAAACAAACTTAAATCATGAGTCACTAGCCAGACAGTTCCCTGATGACTTCATCCAAGCCTCCTGCCAGCTATCCCATCAGGCATCTGCTGAATTCTGGACAAGGGGAGGGTTGCAAACAGAGGAGTTTAGATTCGGTGCATGTCTCCATTCCTGTTTACCTTAAAAATTGTACAAACCTTCTAAACACGAATGCATTCAGAATGAAGTTTTAAATATGAAAGTCAGACGATCCAAGCATGGTTTGCCCTTGGTTCTGCAGAACTTGATAGAAATTTTCTCATTTTCTACTGTTTTCCCTTTCACCTGTGGAAAGAACACATCAGACAAGAATCAATTCAAAAGCCAGTAGACAGTGTTGGAGAACAGTGGTTTTCCTTGCGCCTGTCATTCTCAGGTGCCCATGAACATTGTGCCAGCATTATGACTCTTGCAATGATGTTTTTCTTTTCATTTTCTTTTACTCATGCACCAGCCTACAGCCCTTTCCTACAGAAAGATCTCAAAGAAATCAAAACCTTCCCCATCAAACAAACTATGATTTACACTACGCTGAATGAAATCCATTTGTTGTCCTGCCTTCAAATTTCCAGAACTTAATACAAAAGGTAAATATTTTATTTGATTAACACACTGTTCAATGTTCTATTACTATATCTGATCAGGGGCTCGAGACAAAAAAAATTTTTTTTCAAAGGCATTACCTGCTATTCTAGGCTGCTTCTTCAGAGAACCAGTTCCTCTCTGTAGGAGAAAGCATTTCAACAAAAACTTTTGCATCAAACTGGTTAGTTTTCAAAGAAAATGCCAAATTAAAGTCTGCTTGGAAGACTAGGCTTCCTGGCGGTAGGATGAGCTTAGCCAGGTGGCTAGCCACCTTTCTCAAACTTTCTTTTTCTGATTTCCTATTACACAGTGATACAGAGTGAATGTTGAAGTAAGAGAGAAGTTAGAAAAAAATAATGTGGCGTGCTTGTAAATATCTGCCTCACACAGAGAATGTGATCTACATTCTAGGGTAGAGAAGGCATATTTGCTTAGCTAGTTTATCTAAGAAAGCAAAACAAAATCTGCATGTGTTAGAACTCTTTGAATGGTTGACTGCAAATCCTCAAAACACAAACCAGCAAAAAAGAAAAAGTGTATCTTGTTGTCTAATACCAGAGCCCAAGAAGAAGTGTGTCTCTCAAACAACTGGACCAGGCCCCACAAGGCTATCAAAGATCTCTTTCTCCTCACCCCCCCCCCCCCCCACTCCTCCTTTCTCCCTGCTTCTCTCTGCTGGCTGACTTCATTCTCGCAAGTCACCCTTACCTATCTGGCTAGAACCAGCGCTACCTACACTTCATATATTTGCAAATTCCCAGGATCAAGGCAAGAGAGTAAAGAACCTCTTCTTCCCTCCGACCAGCTGCTGTTCTCATAAATGTCACAGAAAGACATCGATCAGTCTAGCTCAAGACCCGTGCCCCCTTCTCAGACCAATCATTGTTCCCAGGGAATAAGGTCCTGTGATTGGCCCAGCTCTTGCCAGCTTCCTGTCCGGGGACAAGCACAATGCCAGGGAGGTGAGGCCCAATTTAAAAAGTGCAGCTCCCTTTCAAATCATGTATTAGACCAGGAACTTCCCGAAATACAGTCTCAGAAGGAAAGGAAAGTGCTATGTAAACAGAGTAATAAATGCTCACTCCATTTATGCAGCAATCATGACTGTCCAGTCTTTACCAGGGAAGGTTTTGCCCCGCTATGACTCTCGAGAGGCCAGAGACCAACATAAGTTATTTTATCTCAAAGGCCTTATTTCCACAAAATAAAATTATAATTGTGTGAATCATTAATAACGACGCAACATGGAAAAGAATAATTCTAGGGGGTAGGGGGATGGGGAGATGTTGGTCAGAGAGTACAGAGGTTCAATTATGCTGTTCCAGTTATGAACAAGCCCTGGAAAGCTACTGTACAGCATAGTGACTAGTTAATAACACTGTGCTGTGTACTTGGAATTTACTAAGAGTGTAGATCTTAAATGTTCTCACCACACACATACGAAAGGTAACTATGTGAGGTGATGGATATGTTAATTAGCTTGATTGTGATGATCATTTTACAATGTATGCATATATCAAAACATCATGTGCGCCTTAAATATATCCAGTTTTTATTTATCAATCATACCTTAAGAAATCTAGAAAAAAAATAAATATAGTCCATTCTTAGGTTTTTACACACACACACACAAAGGAATAATTTTATAGTGACATCAGGTGAAGATTTTTTTTTAATTTCTAGCATTCAAGTAAGTCTTTTGAAAGGTAAAAGAAAACATTTAAGGGTCCCTTTTCTCATCATTTATAATAGGCCACATTAATACTTTTAGAGTGCCATTAATAATCTTTCCACATAAAAATAAATGTTCCAAAATTGTTCTAATTCAGCAAATGTCAGCAGTGCCCAGGACACTAAATGGAAGAACCATAAACATGTGTTCGTAGTGGAAATGGCTATTTCCTCCACCCCACAGAGGTGACGGGCAATAGCAGGAGCCAGCATGAAGGTGGTTTTTCCGCTCCGTGTTGAGCAGCGCAACCAACCGATACACAGGACTCTGACCCAGGGGAACAGGAGGCCAGCCTTCACCAGAGGCCAGCGACTCTACCCCTCCCCACCATCCTCTCCTTGGCCATCAGATGGATAGGCTTGGGGGAGATACACTTTAAGATGCTTTCCAGTTCTAAAATATAACTCTAACAAAATAAGTTAGCGTAAATGGGATGTAAAAGAGCCATTTGTTTAATCACTTGGAGTAAAGCCAGTCGTCAGCCTCTCCTTTCCGAAATGTCTCTCCGCCCCTTGTCACCCTCTGGACTGGGCGTCCAGGGAGTACATTGCAGTCCTTGTCCTTAAGGAGTACACAGGCTTGGGGTGCAGAGGGGAGCCTGGCGTGGAAACAGAGCATGAGAACGCAATGTTGCAAGGGTTCTGGGAGAGGAGCAGGCAAGGAGCAGGAGAGGAAGTGACTAACCACCCTGGGAGATGCTTAACAGAGGAGGTGCTGTTCAAGATGAGCTTGGAAAAGTGAGTTCAATAGATCATCTGTGCAGATGGCCACATTTGAGGGAAGAAAATCTGGGCAGGGGAGAAAGCAAGTGCCAAAGGAGCCCAGAATGTTCCAAGAGAGGAAGTCTGGAGAGTGGACGGGTATGGGGACTTCTCTTGGTGGGAAGAGCCACTGAAGGGCTTCACACAAGAGTTAGGCACGCTCAGACCTGCCTTACAGAAAGCTCCCTGGAAGCAGTGTGGAGGGGGGTCAAGGAAAAGGAGCCTGAGGACACTGAGCCACTGGGAAGGTCCTGCATGAATAGCCGAGCCAGCTGAGAGGGTCTGGGTTAAGGCAGGGACAGGGGACGGACAGGACTGAAGAAGGAAAAGGTTTTCCCTGGACCCATGAACTACATTATTTTTACTATGTTGGGGACCCTCTTAATTTTAGTACCTAGGGACCCCTGAATTGAACTAACAAAGGACAGATTAAAAGGAGAAAAGGCACATGACTTTTGTTAATGTTTACCTGCATAGGAGAAAAGAACTGAAACTCAAAAGAGCAGTTAGACCTAGAGGCTCATGTACCATTTTAATGAAGGCAAAGGGGTTTGAGCTTCAGAGGGGGATAAATCATGGGGGAAGGAACCAGAAAAGATATAGGGGAACTAATGGAAGACAAGACTTTCCTAAGGTCTGTTTATGCGAGCTTAATCCAGTGTCAGCTCCGCAATCCTGCTCCTCCCTTCCTGGTGGGCGGAGAGGGTACCTCCAAAAAGGGAAATTTATGCCCCAGTTTTAGGCAGATAAAGGGAAGGCAGAGAACTCTTCCTGCATCTGTTGATTCTCAATTGCCTTCAGCTTAAAATAATCCTTACACCAAATCAGCACATGTTGGAGCGACATATTCTGCGGCTTGGAGTTTAACCTCACCGAGCCTCACCTTCCTCACCCCCAAAATGAGGATAAAACTTTGCAGATTTGCAGCTAAAATAAAATGACACAATCCGCTTAAGCCACCCAAGACGATATTAAGTCTTCAACACACATAGAGCCCCATCATTTTTGTTATCACGCACTGCTCTCCAGCTCTCCCTGAGGACACAGGGCCGGGCTGGCCGGGCCACCCAGCCTTGCCGTGAGGTCAGGGCAGGCTGAGGCTCGGTGGGCAAGGGAACCCAGAGGGATCAAAAGTAGAACAAGTCAAAAGATGAGGAAAGAAGTATCCTTTGGGCACCAAGGGTCAAAGCTACAAAAGCCAGAATCTGTCATCAGGGTTAAGGCACTAGTGGGAGGCGGCATTGAGAATCAAAGGCAAGAAGGGCAAGAAGATGTGGAGACTGAGTAGGAAGCCAAAAGCAAGGTTTCAAGAAAGGAGAGAAGGTCCAGAAATGCTGCTGTGGACAGAGCTGAAGAGCCCAGGTGGCCCCGATGGGTCAACTTGGTTTAAAAGACAGGATGGATGGGAGCAGACACCCTTGACCACCTCCCACTAGTGACCTTGAGGACACCTCCCAACAAAAGACTGAAGAACCTTCTTGCGAAGAATTCTCTCCACTCTCAAGAAAAAGAACATTAAGCTTTCTCCCCGAACCTTCCAGGTAAAGGGACAATACGCAGTCCTCTTTGTTCTTCCCATCCAACACTGAAGATATGAGGGAAGAGATCATTGAACAAAATAAGAACTTTTAACTGATTGCTTCTTCTAAATGTTTTTCCTGTTTTGATCCTTTTACCCCACAACTCCATGAGGTAAACACTGTCATCATCCCCATTTTACAGATAAGCAAGATGAGGCTTAGAGCTGGTGATAAGCTGGGTGAGATCATCTAGCCAGAAAGATCCTGGCTGTCATGTAGGAGCACCCCCCCACCCCGAACCACCTGCTCTGCTGTCTCCACCGGAGCAAGGCACCAGGTGGGGCGGGGATGGGG